ATCCTTACTTGTTTATGCATCAGAACACCTGTCTCTCAAGCAACGCCTGCCTAACCTGCAAATGGTGTTATCAGAGAAACAAAGACTGCAAAAAATATTAAACTGTAAAATGTTTCCAATTAGTAATGTTATTATTATTATTATTTAAGCGCTAATTCATGAATGAATCAGTGGATACTTACTAATTTTCAGCGTGACAACAGAAAATGTACACTATCTATCTAGATGAGAAAGCAATCAGTTGTTGCAGCTGATCATTATTCGTTTTACTTGTTTTCGAGGCAGTGACATTTTTTCAGCCTTCGATCTGGTAGATTAAAAAAATAGGGTTTTTGAATTCTTGAATTTCGATAGAAGGACTCATCATAGCCTCAAAGATGACATTCTATTACTTATGATATAGGGCGTCCTAAGGAGCACTCTCAATTACACGCTGTTTGCTGGACTGTGGTCATATGATGACGCTGCGTAGAAGCTTTATGGTTAATAATAATAGCAAGGTAATACAATGAAAGCTCTTGATTTTGATTATTTTATAACTAAAATGAGTGTTCAAGGGTTGATTTAAAACGGATTTGATTGATTACAGGCTTTCATGATGATCTGACAATAGCCACAGAACCGTCGGGAAACCACCTGTGAGTACCAGACAGCTGTCTCGTCCCCCTAGTTTGTCAATCTTCAGCAGTACTTACCCACCACAGGGGGTTAAAACCCTGCTGGCCGGTGCGGATTGGTAAATTGCTCCAGACCAGCGCGACAGGAATGGCTGTCAAGTGCTCCCTAGTTGGGTTTCCCAACAGTTCTCTCACCGATGTCAACTCATGATGAAATTCTGTAAAATGAGTATGCCAAGCCACTGAATTTGATAAAAGTGGATGTAATTCAATAAGAACAGTTGCGGACCAACCGGAGTCTTACTCAGAAAATAGTTTATTTAAAACACCGGATTAGTCTGACAATAAGAAAACATTGAGAAGGTAGAGAAAGACAGAGGCAGATGGGCGATGGATGGAATCATTACTAATTGATTTATCGAATTAGACATCATGGATTTTAGAGAGAAACCTATTTTCAAGTTTCGGCTTGCTGGGATTCGATTGGTCACAGGTTTGATAACAAGCTGACATCAGTTGGAGTATCAGGAAGTGTTAGTTTTCCATTGATTCTCTAACTAATGTCAGCTCATAATTAAACCAATCACCTATTTGTTGAAATGTTTGAAATGTCACGCCAGTTCATCAGACAGTTTTCAAATATTATAAGGCTTTAAACGACTATTTATAGATTGCAGGGAAACATACAAAAGCTGGTAATGTACAGTGAAAATCGGGTGAAAGATACTAATTATCTCTGTGGAAATAAAACATAGTATTTAAGGAATTCATCGATTTCGACAGAAGGCCTCGCCAGCTGAATACTCCTCTACAAATATCACAGTTATATATACAATCTCATCTCAAAGTTTAAATACATACAAACACATGGATTTTGTGATATTAACAAATATATGATCTAGAAGCGATGGATGAGTAGTAATCGGTTAACGTCAGTACTAACTGAAAAAGTGAATACTCGTCAAGGTACTACATATTAACTTAGAAAATGGAGTTATCGTGGTAAAATCAATACAGTTATAAACATCTAGATATGACAGTTGTATGGAAATAAAGGGAACCTCTGTAAAAATTCACGAATAGACAAATTTAACATAGAGAAACTCATGATAGTGGCATCCCGAGGAGCTCTCAATCATACGTCATTTGTTGGAATGTGATCATACGATGACGCTGAGTAAAACAAGGTAATAAAACAGCTCTTGATTTAGCTGAATCTTGTTCAGTCAATCAGATTAAAGAAGCCCGATCTGTGTTAACGAAAGGGAGACAGTAGTAGTAGTTAGCTTAGATCTACCTCGATATTATACTTTGACCTACCTTCCTTCTTCTCTTCACAATGTTTCCTCCATTACTGTTATCATCATTTTATCCGAAATATTATTAGTTTTCCTAGGATATGTGTAAATTGATGAGAAGCGTTCAAATTGTCTTATACGAGTTTAGATTAGACATGTTAAAATCTTGTAGTTTAGTCCTATATGGTTTACCTGTGTTGTATTTACTTATTTAGTTTTTGACAAAGTTTCCTTGTATTTCAATATTATAATCATCATCAAATCTAGATGTTTATGATTTTATTCATTCTGCCTCAATCACTGGATTTTGAGTGTTAATATTGTGTAGTACTTTTTGGCGAGTATTCACTTATACAGTTAATAATGATGCTAACAGATTATCACTCATCCATCACTGATAGATCCATGCTGTAGTTAATCAAATCTCTTCAAACTGACACTTGACAATTATAGTCTGATGGTCACTAGCGACTGATCCTACACAGTTCTAGTGAAAAGTCGTAACCAGCGGGAACCACCAAGTTAGGCAAGTGGAGAGTTACTTGCCCGTGACGTTGGCTGGCGGTGGCGTTAAATATACGCATCACGAATTGGTAGAAGTTAAAATTCATGAGCTGGCCGCTGGATCGGGTCCCACCGGCTGGATAAGCCTTCAAGCTCACTGGCCTCCTAGCTGCAAGGTCCTGAGTTTTAATCCCCTGTAACGGGTGCCTACTGATGAAGAGTACCAGATTAGGATGACAGGAACATGTGCGCGTACTTCCATCCGTTGAAATTGTCCCTTATTTGTTGCTGTCACAATGTCCACAATGTGTTTGTATGTGTGTTTTACTTTTAGCTGAGACTGTATAAATAACAGTGTCTGCAGAGCAGTATTCAGCTGAATTTCAAAAAATACTCCGTTTCTTTCACAGTTGTTGCTTGTTTTAAACTTACTATTATGGGAAAGGGAGTTTTTTCAGTTTAAAATAGTATCAATATTAATATTAAGGACGGATTTCCTTGTGGGAGGATAATAAGTCGGAACTTATACGCCCTACCTATGGGAATATTAAATAAGATATTTGTTTAAAACGGACAAATATGAATAAATTTCATGCCTCTGAGATGTCTGACCCCATTGTATCAGTTGTGTTATATATAATTCATAAATGTTGGAGAAGATTTGTAGCTCAGGTTGATGATTTTGATGTGGTTGTGTTCTCTCAGCTGGATAGTTAATTTGCGCAAGGGCACAACAAGCTTCAGTGACTGGAAATAATGTTCCTGCAGGTGCTGCCATGCCAGGAAGATTGCAAGGATAGTGATTAGACTAAGAGCAGTTACCGGCATAATGTAGGTTTTTTCTCACACTGTGCTGGGTGTCTATGGGCGAAGTAGTACTGCCAGGGAATAAGTATGTAACAAAAGTATTGCCAATACAGCTCAGCAGTCCGCTCCACCATCCTTTATGACTGGATGGCTGGCTGTGGCACACGGCCATTCACACAGTGGAAGACACTGAAAGCCTTGCTGTCTAGCCATCTAGCTGTCTTTGATCATAGGTGTCTGCGTTCTATTTCCCGTTTTGTTAGGTGGTAGGTGAAATAAATACGGTGAGCAATATTGAGGTTAGCATCGGTCGATCAAGTGCTAGGTAAAAAAGGAGAAGGAGGGGAAATCAATCGATGATGAGGTTGGGAAGCAGTCACACCGATTGAGATGAATGGTTAGGACATGTGTTACGCATGCCTGCCTGTCTAGACATTACCCTCCTTATTCGATCGACGGATGGATGAGGTTGGAAAAGAAATAGCTAGTGGTGGTGGGAGTCAAACCAAAACATGGCTTTATTATCAGTCAATGAAATCCACAACAGTTAGTTCAAGCCAGCCAGTCAGTCAGCCACCTAAGTAGGTGTAGACTGCCTGACTGACTGACTGGTTGGGGTCCTCAAGATAACGATAGAACCCGATGAAGGTTGGAGACAGTCGGCGATATGGCTGACTGGTGCAGGTAGATTCACTCTTTGTGATTTATCATATTCAATAGAACTCTATTGTTGTTTTTCCATATTAGTATTCTTTTTACCTCTTTTTATTATCTCTCTCTAGTGTCTTCTGCTTTTTTGTGTGGTACATGGTGAGAGTGTGGCAACTGGAACTGGTGCACATCTGTGCTATGAGTTCTACGCTGAAAACAGTCAGTCAGTTATTTCCCACGGTCTGTTTCATGACTCATTCCACCACAATCAGAGTCATCATTGGCGATAGTAGGCAGCAGAGCAGAGGTATACAGTTCTATTTCCTTCTTGTCTTGGAATTTCGATGTCACTATCTGGGGTCCTGTAGAAGTTTTCCTTCTTCCATTGGTTTGTCTTGTTTGTATGACTGTGTAATACTGGATAATTAAAACCTTCCTATATTTTTCAATGAATATCGTTTTCCCTATCCGGGAGGAGATTCGTTTCCACTGAATAAAAGTTTTCAGTAATGTTGTTGATAATATCACCATGTTATAAGGAGTTAGCAAAAAAGACAAGCACACAATCATCAAGTCAGTAGAAGTCAAAATGTTTTTTACCATGATAGTAGAAGTGGTTGGATGATTTTCTTCTGTATGCATAACTCTGGTTTTTTACCGACTTCGAATGATTGGCTAAGCTTTTGGCAATACAAAGGAGACATTTGTATTTTTAGAACTCTTACATAGCTCCATATTTTCCTTCGTTTCTATGTTCATCCTAATCACAACTCACTCTTTAAACTATTTATTTTATTACGTAACTGTGTGACGCTTATTCAACTTCTTTTATGTGTTGATTAACATTAATATAAGTTTTGACAACTCATCAACACTACTCTCTCACCAACCTTAACCTCCCTCCTAGTTATAATTTGATTATTCATGACAGTTTTGAAATGTCTTGACAACAATAATCCTAACTAACTGTTATTCTTATCGCACAAACCTAATGTACACACACACAAATAAGTATATATATAATTGAGATTGTACAGCTAAGTGAATGAATTTGCCGCGGAAAAGAGACTCTTAAATCATTAATATTTTCCCTCTTTTTCTTTCTCCCGCATATCAACTTTAGGTCCAGCTAAAATTGTCCATCCACCTTTGGATACAAAAGCTATCGCTGGAGAGTCAATTCTATTTTTCTGTCAAGCTGAAGGCAATCCTACGCCTAGAGTTGTCTTCCGTTGGAATGATATTGAAATAACACAGAATAGACCTGGTCTACAGTTTAAAGAATTGTCTGCAGACAGTGTTGCTTTACGCGCTAAATTAGAATTGAGCCATAACGGGAATACTGTAACATGTTTTGCTCAGAATCATGTCGGTTCAGATTCGGCTACAGCACAAATATCAGTATACAATGCAAATGAAAGTGAGTCCAGAAAATTTCTGTTTTTAAATTAAATCCCACTCAATGATATATTTAGAAAACAATATTCTTCTAATTCTACTTATTTTGTTTAACTTTGTTCACGTTTTTATTGAGACTTGAATCTTTCAGAGACTCTCAGTAGGACAATCAGCATAGGAAGAAGCTGATTTCATCTTCTAGAAAGTTGGTTCATTCCCTCCAATCCAGCATAACTCATTTCTTTGACTGCAGTACTGAGTGATGTCGACTCCTTTAGGCTTATAGACAAGCTTTGCCAACGAGTACCAGGGTTTCTGTCGATCACCTTTAACAATCTAAAGTTTTGTTTGATACCCAGAAATTTGCACGCCTACTTTGCAATGATTTTCTGCTCATTAGGGTGTACCCATCAAAGAAGACGACTTTAATCGCTGTCTGACACAGTTCAGAGATGGCGGCTGTCTTCTTTAGACACGAAATTGTTCAGAACAGAATAATTTTCGCCTGGTTCATCATGCTAATAAAAAAAGGCAATAAAAGGTTCCTGAGAAGGAGTTGATGCCTATTGGCACTAACTGCTGTTATGAAGCGTCGAAAATTGACGTTCAGTTAACAATTCCCATTTCGTGCACTTCTTACAATCCGCAATATCTCTATTCATCAGCGAAAATATTAATAAAACATTTACTAACTCTTGGCATTGGGATAGGTTTTTAAATAGTTTCAGTTCCCTTCCTCGCCACCCCTATCCTGGCCACTGATGTATCTATTGGTGTCCAGTAACAAGTACTTATGAATTATCTATTACAATAGAGGATAACACAATCTCTTACATAATTTAGTCAATAATGCCTGCATTTCAATTCCAAATCAAACAAAAATCATTAAGTATTCTGATCTACTCATGAATAATTCTTTTTTGTTATATAGCAGGGGTTATTTTTAGTAGTATGAGTTGCTTGTTTGATCGTGTTTCTTTTTCACCCTTTCCCCCAGAATTATAACCTGAATATCATTACTACTAATAATAGTTTAATTTCCTTGGCTTTCGAGTGAAGTGTACGTCGTCTCCTATTCTGTCTTTTGTGTGATGTAACTCAACGGACTGCTTAGTGTTTACCCAGTCCGTCTGTATCTCCTTCTGTATTTATGTATGTTGGTCAACAGGTTGCTGACTGATTCCCTGAATGTCAGAGATTTTTCTTTATTCCTTTACGTCCCCAGTGGAACATCGGGCTTCAAGCTGGAGGCTTGAAGTTTCAATACAGTGGTGTTTATTTTTACGGGATAGGGTTGCTAGCCTCATGCCCCCAACTTTCCGTCTTTACCAGTCGTATTACTGGCTTAGCGAGGTTTTGGGAGTGCGTTGTCCCGAACCACATGCGCGTATTTGGCGAGCGTTCTACCGTTGTGCCACCGACGCACAATGTCAGAGCTTCATTGCTGCTCATTCCTGATCACCAGCCGTCTAATCTTTAGTAATGGAACGAGATAAATTCGCAGGCATACCTCATAAATATCCTCAAAATATCATAAAATCATTATTATTATTCTTCCTTTGATATCCGAGTGGAACATGGCGCTTTAAAAACAAATCTCCACTCTCTTCTATTTATCTCCTGTCATCTTCATCCGGATAGCCGCATAATTCCACATAATCTCTCATGCCCTCCTCCAACTCATGCCGTCTCCTGTATTCCACCCTCGCACTCGTCGCTACCCATTTACCTTCGACTCGGCCGATGGCCTGCATTGCAAGCCATGTCACTCCACGGCTTCAGCCTTCCACGAAGCAAGCTTTATCTATCTCCATTTTCTCCTACGTATTTGTTGAGCAGTCGCCTGTCAGTTGGTTGTTTCATTCATTGCCAGAGTTTCTTGTTGCTAATTCTTTCTGGAGCCAGCCAGCCAACCAGCAAAGGTGGCAGCTATTGATTAGAGTCTACAACTGGCTGTTGGAAATGCTTATTGTGACACGCGCTCAGTGTAAGTTTCTCACCCATAGAGAAACAGTAACTGACGCGTCAAATGAATCACAAGATGTCCCACCACACCTCTCTTTGTCAGTCCATCTTTCTGACCTCTGAACAAATAAGATGGGATATGCTTATAACACACTAGATTATAACCCTCTTCAAATCTTAATTAAAAGTTGGAAGTGTGACTGAATAAGAAAATGAAAGACGACTTCACACTTGGAAAAAAATCAAACCTGAAAACTACTTCACCTTTCGTTTCTCTTTTTTTTCGGGGGATTCAACATTTGATTAGTTTTCATTTTGAGATAAAACAAGTGTTCGCCTCAAAAAGAAATCTCGCCTTTCTACCTGTTTTATGTCATATCGTCTCACTTATCATCAAGTTTTAGAAGCAAGAAACAGAAAAAAAAGAGGTGGGGAGAAGATTAAAACCAGCAAAGAAAATGTATTTTTACATGAGAAAGTGGAGAGGCGAGAGGCGCGTGAAAAAAAAGTCGTCATCTTACTTTCCTTGATAATTTTTGCTTTACTCGCTTACTTGTTAGCTAACTTGTTACGCATGCTAACTGTACCTCTCATCGAATTCCAAAGTTGTAATTTTCAACTTTCATTGTCTAATCTAATCACTCTTGTGGTTGTAGTTCGACTAATCCACGTGTAAAGTAGTAGTACAAGGAGAGTAAGATAACGAGCGAGAAAGGGTGAGGGAGAAACGGAGAGAGGAAAGAGAAGAGTGTTAGAATAAAGTGGGCGAAATACAATATACATATATATATAGTTTAATCTCATGAGAGTTGATATTAATACTCACTGAATACATCTCACAGAGTGGCATGTTTATCTCTGTAGATAGACACTTTCTAGACACGTTCAAAGAACAAGAACAACAAAATGAATTATTTTTTTTCCTGAAAAAATTTTTCATTTTGGATAAAGAAAAATTAGAAATTGTGAATAGATCGTTTTCAAAATAACAAGTTGATTGTTAATTTTTGTGGGGTTTTCTTCCTGAGAATTTTGAAATCAGAAATTTGTGAGTAGGTGTGCTGTACTTCTGTTAATTGAATATATATATATATGTATATGTACAGTAAAATTCAGACTGGGGATTATGGTCTTTAATTTTTGAGGAGGTGGAGAGATTTCAGGTGAATTTCTTTCTTATCTGAGATAATGTAACGAAAGAAAAAAAAAGTTGAAACGTTTCGACTTATATTTTGGTATCAGTTTGAAACAGAGACTGACTGTCAGTTATACTAGGTATATATATAAACATACATATATATTTGGAAAACAGAAAGATTGAGCGAAGAAATATTTACTTTTCAATTAGATCCTCATCTCTGGCTCTACTCTAATATATATAGCATTTTTATAACAATACACAACAATTTACCAAACAAGTGGTGATATGTTTGTTAACAATAATTAAACAGTGTCAAAACGTAGAGTAGAGCCAGAGATGAGGATCTAATTGAAAAGTAAATATTTCTTCGCTGCTCAATCTTTCTGTTTTCCAAATGTCTAAATGGGGATATTTTCTATACATATATATCATTATCATTGCGTACTGCTGAAGAGTCCCAAACTAGGCGGACGAAACAGCCCTATAATACTATTAGGTTTTCCAGTGATTCTCTCTAATTGAAATAAAAAGGGAAACAGTTCAAAGTAAAAATAATCATAATTAATAGGCGTAGTAGTGAGGGAAATGTACATAGGTGAACTAAATAAATGAACGTTTATCCCTCTACAGCCAAAGTAGACAAAAGTTTAGCTTGAATTCTCGAATGACTAATGTCTCCACTGTATTTAGAAGTCTATAACGAAGAAAACGCAACCGGTAAGTCAGCATGAATTCGACAGGTGATCTTAAAATCGTGGTCAGTGTTCTTAGAGTGATACAGGAGTCGATCAGGTGTTCTAGAATAGAGCTTCTTCCTTTCACCCTTCCTTTCTCCCTTGTAAAACCATGCTGCTGGAATCTGTTCTTGTATCCATGTGCAATGTGACGGTCTCTGGCTAACGTCAATCTACGTTGCTCCAGGTGAACTGATAGATGCACATGAAGGTGGTCAGACGAGGGGGCTTGTCGTTTACAAAGAAAGAAAACAACTTGTGACTGGTCAATGTCATTTTTTAGTTTTACCGCAGTCAACGTCATATTGACTGATTTAGAGAGACGATTTCTGAGCATATCTGAGGCCTGATCACAGTTGAATTCAAAATTCATGGTGATGCTTTCCATTTTGGAACTGAGTCAATGACCACTTTGGGTCGCATATCATCCGTGTTTTTGTCAGTAAATCGGTTCAGATAATCCTTTTCTGTGACAGTGGCTTTTAGGAAGGAAAGTTCTGTGTCAACTCGATAAGAGCTGCAAATATTTCTCATTCAGAAAAAAGATAGATTGAGCAAGGAAATACGAATTCCTTTTCACTTAGTTGGTCATCATCGACTGGCTGGCTGGCTCTACACTAATATATTGTCGTTTATCATATAAAGAATTTACCAGTCAAGCGATTATTTTTGATATTCAGTTTAAGGTATAGGGGTGAAATCAAGAGGTTGAAGGTCATCAAAACATCAGTTAACTAATAGATGTCATTAACAAGATAAATCCAGATTTCGAAGGGAGGGCTGAAAATTAATAAAATATGGATTTCAAGATAAGTTAATTCGTTGGCATTAGCAACAAGTCATCACACAATCAAGAAATTTGTAGAATAGCAGTGATGACTAAGAAGAATAGGATGACTCAGAAGAATTACATGAAATACAAACAAGTCAATAGAATTAGCTAGAATTGGAAAGATTGGAAAAATTAACAAAGTCAAAAGACAGTTACAAGGGGAGGGGAAAAATCAGTTTTTTGTTTAAATTAATACATATTATGTAGTTGGTTGGCCATAACAAAAACAGGGGCTGCACAAATCTCTCCGGAACACACACACAGATTTGATTTGTTCAAATGTATTCCGAGTGTCCGGAACTAACCTTCATTAGTTAACTGATGTCTTGATGACTTTTAATCGCTAAATT